TATAGACTTTGGTTAAAAACCATTTTTTTTTCATTTGTAGCTACATTCCCTTATGGAATATTATTGATCAAAGATAGGACAAATAATTATATATGCCTTTGCATGCTACAGGCTACTACCTTCACCCCATACTGCATTATGCTTCTAATTTTAAAGTTGATTGGGAAGTTATGAAAGGATTCATTGGTTGCATGGAAAAGATTGTTGGAGATTTTGAAGTAATAGGAAAATTGATGACCAACTTGAGGATTTTAAGAGACAAAAAAAGACATTTTTGGTCATCCTATAGTTCAACATGCTTTTAATACCAAAAGTACAACAAGTTGGTGGGAATCTTATGGAGAATAAATATCCAAAATAGCAACAATTTGTATTTTAGGTTTTGTGTTTTGACATGTAGCTCATTCGTTTGCAAGTGCAACTGCATAGTCTTTGAGTGGGTAAAAATTCTTATTTAAAACAATATATGTATAATGTATTTCATTTCCTTCTTCTTATTATATGATAATTGATTTTTCATTTAAGCTCATACCAAGAAAAGAAATTGTTTGTTGCAAAAGACTATGAATGATATAGTTTATCTCATGGCTAATTCCAAATTGAACAAGGAGTGAGTTAGGAAGGCAAAAAATTATGGTATTAAAGACTTTTCTTCTGATGATGATTGGATTATGGAACAAAATGATCAAATTTCATATTTGAATTCCTTAAATGAAGACATACTTGAAGTTAGACAAGATGCTGGATTTAGTGGTGGTGGTGCACTTGTGGACGATTTGTATGTTCTTCCTATTGAAAATAATGAATTAATTGGAGTTCGAGTGATGAGAGATACTAATGCCATTAATGAGAATGAAGATAACAATGATTATTGTTGAGGGAAAATTTATGCTCTCTTAAGTTATTAGAATGCAAGATTTCATATGAATTTATAGTACGTGATATGTTTTGAGTTATTAAGTTTCGTAATTTATGAACTTTCTAATTTCTATTAGGAATTGTTGAACTTATATTTATATTTATATTTATATATATATATATATATATATATATATATATTTTTTTTTGTCTATTTCAAATTTAGATATTATATTTTTAATGACTTATTATTATAATTATAAAATTGTTTAATATTGTGATTTATAGTTTTTTTATCTACTTAGTTTTTTAACTGTATATTACATATAAGTATTAGGTAGGATGTAGGATCTTACTATCATAGCTATGATTTTAGAATTACAATGTTTGACACTTTTTTCATCCTAAATAAAATCTTAATTTTAAAGTAAAATGTCATCCTTACGGGATGCCAAAAGTAAAAATACTAAGAAGGATAAAGATTTAATAATAACAATAGGCATGCATGTGGTGTATACAATTCTCCTATGCTAAAAGCAAAACATTCCTACCGTAAAGAATGTCAGTCATCCAAGTTTTAACAACGAAATTAAAAGCTTACTGCGTGACTGAATAAATAACAAGTTTATATTGATATGTTTAGTTTTTTTTTATTGATATAATTTATTTTGAAGCATATACTATTATTATATATCTCATTTTTACTCTATAAATTTTAAATTAATTTTATTACTTATTTATACACAGTACTTAAGCTTAATATGATAAAATTTTATATTGATTTATTAGATCGTGAGCTTATTTGTGTATAAGGTTATAAGTATTTTTCAGAATTTTTCTATTGAAAAATATTTTTTTTAAAATTAAAAAAAAAAACTCTCAAAAACAATTTTAACGTATATTTAAAGAAGTCTAATGCCCAAATTATTTTTTGGTTAAAAAATTAACCTCAATATTGAAATTTAGTTGTACCAAGGTAAAACTAGAAGAAATCTACTTATGGACAATTAGAGATAAATATGAATTGCTTTGTATAAAAAGAAAAAAGAGTTATTATATACCATATCAATTTAAATATATATTTAATTAAATTATGTGATGAAATTTTATGATTAGGATTTTTATGCTGTTTTTTTATAAGTTGTAGTGAAAAATATAATTATAAAGAGACTAATGGTCAATTTGATTTTTTTTTTTCGCTTTTTTGTTTTCAGCCAAAATTTATTATGTTGTGAAAATTGTTTCTAGAAACAAGTATCTTAAGCCAAAATGTAAAAATAGCTAGAAAGATGTTTTCTCTCCATCTCCTTTTGTTCTATTCAAATGTTTTGCTCAAGTGCTTACGAGACAAACTTATAGAAAACAGAAATATATTTAAAGAGTAAATACTTTCAAATATGTTCAGAAGACAAAACAAAAATTATAAAAGAAAAAAAAATCCGTTTTTGAAACAAATAAGGCCTAAAAGTGAGAGTCTCTTTAATTTACTGAAGAGAAATACGAAATGTAGAATGCGACTATTATCAAACTTATTTCTCTTATTCATGCAAACTCAATACTGTGTAATCAATTTTTCAAACTCAAAAATTTGTTATTCAGATGAAACTCAATTTCGTAATGCATGCACTAATTTGGTTCTTCAGCTGAAACTTCAAATTGTACCGTTTTATTTAGTTGTCTCCCGTAGTTAAAGGTTATATAACGTTCATCCCATTTCGAAATAATCTTCTGTAAAAATATTATTAAGTATTAAATAAGATAAGTATATTCGAAAAACTCAATTCTCACAACGATTAATGATATTACATAAAAATATATATAAGTGAAATTATCATTACTTTACTAGTTAATTTTATAGAATTAAGTTAAATCTAAATTTATTTTTTAATATGGTATTAAAATTTATCTTAAAACTATTAAAAAATATTATTTATTATTTATCTACTATTTATTTACACATCAAATACAATAATAATAATAATATTAAGCATAAAAGTGCACATAAAAAATTCAAGTCTTACATCAACTACTAATATAATAAAAAGATAAAGTATGTTTCTTTTTTAATAATAAAAGAAATAAAGCAAAATTGAATACCGTAAAAAACCACATTTATTATTTATGTAATATTTTGATTTTTTTCTACGATTCTACAATTCTTTATCACATTAAACACAATTTTTTCACCTATGGCCCTATTGCTCTCTTTTGTCGTACAAAAGGTGACAAAATTTTATTATATGTACAAATACAAATTTTCCATTTAAAGTTGTAGGGTATACCAAAACAAGGAAATTCGTGCAATGATCATTTTAATTTGAATACCTAAACATAGTACTAGAAAGTAAATATTTTATAGATGAAACGTTGTGGTGGCAAGGTTACCATCAAATATAAATATGCGTGTATTAATAAGTTAAAAAATAGGAGAAAAAGAGACTCTCAAATCCTAGGTCAAGAACCTAATCCGGACTCTTTTCCCTATGTTAATTAAAAAACAGAAGAGGAAACAAGTGGGTATATTATGCTCATTAAAAAAAATGCCTATAGCTCGATATATACAATACAGGCATAAACTTAGAAATATGCTACATGTTTGTTATGTGCATTTGTGGTCCATAAAGTCAAAACGAATAATAAAGTGCCATCTTTATATAACTAATAGTACTATTAAAAGACTACACTATTATGTGGTCCATGCATATCTGTTTTATTGTTGTTTGGTCTCATCCTTTCTTTAAACAAAATTATAAGTACATACATGCTTTGTTCTTTTTTCTTTTTACTATTTAGTGAAGAAAATAGGAATCTAACCTAGGCTTTATATATCATTATATCATACATATAGAATTCATTATTGTTGGGGACCAGGAAATTAAACGGTCATAGATTCATAAGCCATAAGTATGGTTGGTTACTTGGTTTGAAGAATAAGACAAAATTCGTATATATATATGATTCATAAGTATGGTTGGTTACTTGGTTTTTAGAATAAGACAAATTCGTACGTATAATTCATAAGTATGGTGGTTTGGGAATACGGAAGAGTCCGTATATCTAAGTGAAGCAAGTTTTTGAAACAAGTTTGTTCACCTTCCCTTGTAAAACTAAATTCCAATGGTACAATATATTTGGGCATGCATCAAAATCTCAGGGCGAAACTTTATAATATTACAAAATGCATTTTTCAAATCGAATGAAGACTGATGATAGGGCAAAAATTACAACCACCACTTTTCTTGTTACAAGTGCTTCAAAATCCTAACAAGGAAAACACAAAAACAATGAATATTTTTTTTATTCATAAATTCCTTTTCCTTTATATGTTGCGTATCGTAAAATATCTAGTGAAAAATATAAATTTTATAAGAAAGCGAGAGGAATAAATTTGAGTCGAATAAATCTGCGTAAAAAATTAATAGTAATAGTAATTTCCTTTTTCTGGTCGAATCTATAACCAAACCTCTATTATGATTTTTTAAGGTCTGTAAGTTGTATCGGGACCGTTCTGTTTTGCTCATTAATGTTCACACTGCTGGGCCACCATAAAGACCGATCAAGCCCAATATGCCCAGCGTTTAACGAAAAAGAGGTCGATTATCTATTTATTTATGAAATAAGTAATACAATTGTCTTTGAAACTAAAATAAAAGAATGATTTGAGGTTCAGCTGAATTTTTATGTGATAATTACCAAAGTTGAATCACATGTTTAGGTTACGTAAATAGAAAATATTAAGATTACATAAGTATAGAAAAAACATAAGTATGCATAATTAGTTGAAACTTAAATTATAATAAAATAAACAATAAATGTCTTTCTTTCAGCTGATTCAAAAAGAGCAAACCACTTTAATTATATAAAGATAGCGCTAAAAGTAATTAATTTGAAAATATAAGCATTCAAATTTGAGGAGAGAAAAAGTTGATAATTAACAAGAGAAGTTTTAAAAGTGAAGACAAAAAATCGACATTTTGTTAAAAGATCAGAATTGAAGACAAAAACTGCCATTTTGATAACTTTATAACGAAAGACTGAAATGAGATTTGAGAGCTTCATGAGATTTTACAGTTCCCCACTAATAATGCAAGCATTATGAGTAGAAAACTGAGCTCACATCAAGATCAATATGTGATGCAATAGAAGACAATTGTGACTGGTCGTTCAGATATTTAATAAATCAAAGACCCTTGAAAGATACCGAGTGTTACATGCCATATGTCTATGGCTAAAGGTTTAAAAGTCTGAACAAGTACCAGATGTTTGTTATACCAAAATAAAAACAACAGCACGGTTGCATTTACACCTTGCCAACAACACCAAGAAGCATTTGGCTTTGCTCTTTTGTGTGGTGTTTGCTTTTATGTCTCCAGCTGAAATACTGAGCTTAATTAGCTCAAAGCATCCACCCTGGAATAAAGCCATTCACTTGTTGAGCTTGAGATGTGGCAGTTATCTGATCTGAAGCTACACCATTGTACCTGTAGTCAGGACTGGACAAAAGGGTCACACTCAGACACCTTGAGCTATTATGTATAAGCACTGCAGAAAAGTAACTGATGGTGTATTATTACCCTATCTGCAAAGTGGGGTTGCATTCCAGTGGCTGGAAGAAGCCTTGAGAATGAGCATTCTGCGGTCCACCATATGCCATACTTTGATCACCAGCTTCCCATGATTGCCTATAGTGATTTCTTGAGTTTATTTCATTCAGCTGAATTAAGTAGTAGTAGTAGTAGTCATGAATCATGTCAAAAGCAGAGGACCTTAATGTCAAAGGACTAAGGTTGAAGATTTATATTAAAAGGTAGCATAATAGTTCCACCTTAAGGTTTTTGTTTATTTTGTTTCACTAAATCTTAAACAAATAATAGGATTATTTTGAAGAAATATCCAATCTGATAGGAAAGAATTCAGATGCAGAATTGTACTCCTAAATTAATGAAAAGGCCTCATGTTGTGAAAATATTTCAAAATTTATTTTAGACCTTACTTATCAATAAGTCAGGTAAGCACCACAATGAAGTTATCACATTAAGGGCTGAGGTATATATATTTATGCAACAAAGCCAATCTTGCTAGGTAGGGGAAGAACATGGTGGATAATGGTATAATATTACCTTCATTGTCAAGGATCTGTTTGCTTCTACCAACATCTGCTCCTGTAACAATAGTAATAGTTTGAAATTATTAGGCACCCATAGAGTTGCTTTATTCCTTTAATTATGTCAAACAGCGTACCTTATTTTGAAGATCAGCTAATTGGTCCAGCATGAATTGGGTCTGCGAATTGAAGTTTCAGATAATGCAAGGTAACAACAGGATTTACGATAAGCTTTTCTTACGGAAATTTCACAGCAGTGAAAAATTAAAAAATACAAACAAAATAAGTCATATATTTACCATGTGTATAAGTTTTTCATTACAAAAAGAAGAACGTGCCACGTATGAATCAAGATCATATTCTATTGTTTCAACTCCTAATTTAAAATAACTTTTTCAGTAAATCAAAATTTCTCGTGTCATCATGTCGTAATAGTATGCCTTCTAATCACCATATGCAGTAAAAGATGCATTGGCCGTGGTATCAGCAGAAATAGATGTTGCATAAAATACTTACGAGAAGATGTTAAATGAAATGGAGAAATTACGCTAAGCTGCTGCAACTATTGATCAAGAACTACATTAATAAACTTAATGAATATAATTTGCTGAAAATTAACATATTTTATAAGCTTAAATACTCCGTTACCTTTGTGGACCTCACTTGCTTTAGAGATGAATCCAGTTGTCGTTCAAGCTGTTCAAGATCTTTAGTATTCAGCGGTCCCAGGTCTTCCCCTAGAAGGTTTCTGTAGTAGCAGGGATAAATACAATATTAAAGTAATTGAATCTTGCATTACCAAAAAAGTAATTAGATCTTGGCAAATTAATTATGAAAAATACTAGTTGGTGACTAAATGATCAAGAAATGAACTGAAAATACAATTGTTTTTTAATGAGTTTAATTTTTTTCTTTTTAAATACTATTTTTTACATTTACCTTTGGGTTCTTTGAAGTGATTCAAATCTTGTTTTCAGCTTCAAGTATTCACGGTAGCTGCTCTGCTACAAATTAAAAATAAAAAGAATTGCAAGATGAAACAATAGTAAAGAAAAACTAATACATATTGTGATGTAATTATTTATAGTTTTCTATATGAACATTGAGACAGCAGGTGCTGTACCTCGAGCTCTTTGGCAGGTTTGCTAACTTCCACAGCACCATAACTACATTTCTGGTACCTATCAAGTGTTTTGAGCATGCTGATTTAAAAAGGAAGAACAGTCAAATTGATGATGATATTGTAAGGATAACCATGTATACCAATATTATCATGGATTTTGATGACACAAATCTAACATCATCACTTTAAAAATGAGATGCACCTCTATGATAATATCATTCAGTTATACCCTGAGCTGACTACAAAAAAATACTGACCAGGTTTTAGAAAACGTTCCTTACGCAGGAAAATTAGTTACCATTTAATATAGTACATGTCTTTGCAGTAAATATCTTTAGTATGGCCTGATCGTTTGTAGTACTCTACATATTAGGGGTGTGAAAATAAAATATATTAAACTCAACCACAAAAACATTTGTGCCATGTTACTTATTATACCTATAATTTTTCTCTTTTCTCTCTCACAAGGTGCAAATAACACACTCAGGTGTAAAAAAATTATTTTTCTTCAGTAAAAATCCTTTCCATTTACTAGGGTGGATCCTTCAATGGAACCATCTCCATCAAACATGACTAATCTCCTAGTTTTTTCTACACTCTCCCCCCCCCCCCGCACACCACT